GGGCGGAGCGGGGGGTGGGGGGTCTTCCGCAGCACTGCCGCCCCGTCCTCTTTTTGATCCAGGCCAGTACAACAGGCAGGGCGGGCAGGGCAGAAGGGCAGGCGGCAGGGCGGGCGTCAAACAAGAGAGCCGAGGCGGGGCAAGGCCGGGCAAGGCAGCAAGGCCCGTGGGCCGCCGAGTCAGCCCCGCTGAGTTGCTGCTTCCTTTGGATGACAGTGTTGCCAATAGATCACCGCCCTGCCCGGCCCTGCCCGGCCCTGCCCCGCCAGGCCTTGCCCAATCCGCTGCCACCGCGTCAGCACTCCGCCTCGTTTGCTGCCGGTGGTTGTGTTGCCGGGCCCGCTGTGCTGCTAAACCCAGCCGGCGACAGTGCTGCCACCCGCCCGATTTGGCGCCGAAGGGTTGGCACTCCAGGTTGCCTGCATCGCATGCTTCGCAGGGGCTAGTCCGGCCTCGTTCCTAACGGCGCCGCGCTGCGGGGCCGCTTTTGCAGTGCAGGACCATGCACCGCCACTGTCAGCCCAAACGGCTGCCCTTTTTTCCGCTTCGACCTGGACAGGAAGACTGTCTGTCAGGCGGGGAAAAGTGAGGTGGGAAAAAGTGCGAATAAGAAAACGGGCATCGCGAAGGCGAAGGGGTTGAGGGGAACGGGGGGGATCCCGACTGGCCTCCGGCAGGGCAGCGCGGAGCGCGTGCCCAGGGTTTCGAATGGCTGGCCCCGCAGACTGAGAGCCGTTTTCGTCGCTCTGTCTCTCTCGCACTCACGGGGCGCGCCGTACGGGTGCGAGAGAGACGGAGACTCTTGGAACCAGTCTGCTGGCCTCTCGCACCCTCGCGTCGAGACAAAGGTAGCCGTGCGAGTACGCGAGGGCGCGGGGCTGCACCGCGCGCCGTCGCTCCGTCTCTCTCGCACTCGTGGGGCGCTCCGTATGGGTGCGAGAGAGACAGAGCGACGAAGCTCAGTTCGGAATGAGACTGCTGGGCGAGGCCGGCGATAAGACAGGAGCGGTGCGTGGCGGCCTGGCTGCCCTGCCTGCCTGCCCAGCCCCGTGATGGTTCGTGCCGCACTATCGGCAGCTTGGAAACGGACAAACAGACTGGCAGTCGGACGGGCAGACAGGCATGCAGGCAGACAGACTGGCGTACACTCGGATACACAGCCACAAGAGACTTGATTGTCTGCGCGTCACCACACTGTGCAGCTCCCCACAGAGCAGGCCGCACGACGCGCCGCGAGTTATTAACTTGATTTAGGGGATGAAAAGGAGACAGAGAGAGAAGAAAAAAGTGGTGGAGGTGACCAGCTCATGTCATCCTCGGGGTTGTACAACCCATAGAGCAAATGAGGGTATTTTTCATGTCTTATTCAAGTGTTACATTGAATTAGAAAAGTTTGGCAATTTGGGGGACGCTGGGGCCGGGGTCGGTCGGCCGCCTCGGCCTGGGCTAGTGCCCCCGAAGCTGCCGCGGCCGGCCGCTGGCCGTGCTGCGGGGTGGCGTGGAGCAGGGCGGGGCGGGGTGGGGCGGGGCGGGGCGGGGTGCGGTGGGGTAGGGTGAGGCGGGGCGGGGCGGGGCGGCCGGATGTCTCCACCGACTCGTTATCCCGCGGCCGGCCTGCACAGTGATCCGCACAGCGCGCGGCCTGATTGAAAATGCTTATCAAATATCCAACTTGCAAATCCCCGGATCGCGCTGCAGAGAATGAGCAGCTTACCGCGCGGGCGCGGCGGGCGCGGCCATGATCGGACGCGGCCTGGAGCCTGGGCGGGCGGAGCGCTGAGGACGTGAGAGCGCGCGGCAGCTGTTGATGACCCCCGCCGACCACCGCACCACCTGCTCCCCGCACTCGCCGCCACCTGCAGTAAAACTCTCTGCAATTCCGAATCGTCGTCGCTCTGTCTCTCTCGCACCTCTGCGGCGCGCCCCGTGAGTGCGAGAGAGACGGACTCTCGGAATCAGTCTGCGGAAGCACTGCGATGCGAGGCAGCGGGGCGGCGGCATCGCGGCAGGCCGGGCTGCTTTGGCGCTTTGCTGTTCGCTGTTCATGACGGCGCTCCCGGGAGGGTAGTTCCACTCACAGCCCGCCGCCCTCCGCCCCGCGCAAAGGCCCCGCCAGCGCCGCGCTCGCCCGGCCGGCCAGCCCGGGGTCAGGGTGGCGTGAAAAATGATACCGTGGACGCTGATTCCGAACCCGCGTCGCTGCCCTGTCTCCCTCGCGCCCCCGCGAGGGGCCGCGTGAGTGCGAGAGAGACAGCGCGGCGGGGCGGTGCCCTGGCGGTGCCCTGGCGTTGCCGCGGTGTGATGTCGGCCGGCTGATGGCCAGTGGACGGAAGGGGCCGCCGTGCCGCCATTCTGCGACGCCTCGTCCTCGTCGTCCTCGTCCGCGTCGCCCCCGCCTGCTCGACAACACCGGCCAGCCCCACAAGAGTGATTACGACGCGCGCGGCGGGGAACGGATGGGGCGGCCGAAACCAGTGCCGAACCTCCAAACGTCTCAAAACCAAGATTTCGAAGAGTTGTCATTTTCCAACATGCGTGACAACTCTAAAATGAACTCGTTTGAACTGGAGCACCCCCTTCCCCCGAATTAAATCAAGTTCCAAACGAAGTCAAACTGTCTGCACGTGCTCCCGGGCACGGCCTCCCCCTTCCCCTCCACCGCGGTGTGATGCCTCCGACAACAAAAACAACAACAAGCGAACCTCACAATGTTGCAAGCCCAAGGAGTTTCCCTCGTGGCGGCAAAATTTAAACCTCGCGCGTCCAATGAAACGCCGCCGCGCTGCAGGCTGTTTCCGGACGTCGCTCCGTCTCTCTCCCTCTCTCGCTGTCGCGAGGCGTCCCGAGGCGTGCGAGCGAGACAGAGCGACGGCGGTTCGGAATCGCGCGGCTCCACGACAGTTTATTAGACGGCTGCAGTGCGCTGCGAGCCGGCCGGATGATTCCGAGAGTCGGTTTCGCGTCGCTCTGTCTCTCTCGCACTCGTGGGGCGTCCCGTAGGTGCGAGAGAGACAGAGCGACGCGAAACCGACCCTCGGAATCGCCCTGCAAGCGAGTAATGGCCAAATTACCAACAGCCTCGCGTCAGTTTTCGGCGCGGCGGGGCGCAGCGCGGCACGGTGGAGATTTCGGCTCGGCCCCGCTCGGCCCCAGTGGAGGGAAATGTATCAGGCGATTCAGCAAGCTCCTTCTCGACTCGGCGATGTCCAAAGTTTTGGCCCCGCTCGGCGCGGCGCGGGGCGCGAGCGTGCAGCTTTAGCGGCAAACGGCGCTTGTAGTGTACTGCTCCACTGCTCCGCCCGGTCCGCTGGGACGCGCGGCGCGGCATGCGGGCCCTCGTATATGGCAGCCACTTGCCAGTCTCCGCGCACACCGGGGCCAGTGGAGCCTGCAAGCGAACGCTGCAGCTGTTTGCCGGAATTAAATTACAAATTCAAACCTCTTTCCAAAAAAAATCTCATTCAACGAACGTTAATGAAAGCAGATGATCCACCGCGTTTCACAACTGCTGTGATAGCCGAGAGGTTAGAGACGTGGGATCGAGTTACCGCAGGCCGGCGTTCGAACACCAGCGTCACAAAAGTTTTTTCGACTTGCTATCCTAAGGGTGGTGGTTCGAGGCCATGTGAGCGGAGCCGTGTGCAACAGGCCCACATGCCGGAGGTTCGACTCCTAACAAATATTTCCATTTAATTTTACTGCCTCACCCAGTGCGGTTCAAACCCGTAAACGTGAGCCCACTCCGAGCATGGGACGTGGTGGTCCAGGGAGTAGAGGCGTCGGTTCTCAGTGCTAGGGTCGGCGGTTCGACTCCCCAACTTCTTGCGAAATTTTGACCGGGTCGGTCGAGTCCTGTTGCGTCAAGAACCCACCTCACGCCGACCCCCTCATCATGGGCCGTGGTGGCCGAGAGCGTAAAGTCGTGTGATCCCGATGGCGGGGTCCGGGGATCGAATCCCATCATTTCATTACATTTTTCGACCGCCTTCCTCCCAGTGCAACTCAAACCCGTCGTCCAACACGCTGCCAGACGTACAAGCGTGATAGCGTAGTGGTCAGAGTCACATTCACCTGGCCACTCCGCTGTGGGTGTCTAAAAAGCAATCCGCTTCGGCGGGTTGGCCTCGGCACTGGAGCGATGGCGTATTTGATCCATCAATCCAGACCACCCGGTGTGTGGTTGCGGGTGGTGCCTCCTCGACTTGTCGGGGAGGCGATGATAAGTCCTTTGAAGCTGGCCTAAAACGCTGTATGTTCGGTACGGGAGCGCCGGACAGTGGGGGTACCATGGGGTACACAACCAACCCTACGAAAACAAGAAGCTCCCACCAAACCTCTTCTCTGTCTGAGTCTCTCTCTGTCTCTCTGTCGTCTCACTCTACGTCCCGCCCCTCAAAGAGCTTCGTACTGGGTGCTCTCACCCAGCTGCCTGAGCTTTGGGGTCCTACTGGGTCCCCCGGCGAACGCTTGGGTCGCTGACGGGATTAACCCCAGGTACCTGATAGCACCGGTTCCCATCCCGAACACCGAAGTAAAGCAGGAGGCCTCCCCATTAAGACTGGGGAGGGGGTGTAGAGTTCAAATTTTTTCTTTTCTCTTTCAAATTCAAACGGAAACGAAATCTCCCCGGTGGCTCGGACAAGGCGCCATGAAACTGGATGCCACGCCGCCGTCCCCGCCGCCGCCGTCCCCGTCTCTGTTGAGATAGCACTGCCATGCAAAGCGCCCCATCCCTCATCCGGGTGGCCCGGGCCGGGGCCGGCCGGGGCTGGCTGGGGACCCACGTGTGGTAAATCATTAATTCGGGCGTCGAGCGCTGGGCTCCCCCTCCCCCCGCCGAGTGACCCACAGCGTGGACACGCCCATGACCCGCGCGGCGACAGTGCGGTGGCGCCGCGACCTACATCGGCGTTACTCAACTTCTCATATCATCAGCGGCAGCGCGCGCTGTAATTTCAAGCCGAATTTCCGGCCACTGCGGCGTGGGTGGGCTGTCGCGTCGCAACGCGCCAACCCCGTGGCGTTAGGCAACCCATCAAACCTCCCGTGCGCGCCGCATCGCCGCCGCCGGGCCATCTCGGCGATTCTGCAGTGTAGGTCCAGCAGACGACGCTACCGCAGCGCCACCAGTGAGCCATCTCCGCCTGACTACCGGAAGCCGTCAGTCCGCAGCTGAGGAGCTGAGCGAACGTCAGTCAGCCAGCCGGCACCACGCGAGGCACAGCCCGTGTCTGACGCTCCCGCAACGCAGAGTCCACGCGTTCGCTCCGGGTTTCCGCGTTTGCTCAAGTTAATGAAGTTGGTGTCGTGCTTCGCCTCATCTACCTGCTGACTATCGTCGTGCCATCATGCGTGCAAACCCGCTCTCGTCGCCCGCAAGGTTTGTTTCCACCCAGAAGCCTCGGAATGGTTTGGTGTTGTTTGGCAGTCGATTTGACCGTGACGTCATCTTCTCACAGGGCTTCTAGTCCGCGGCGTCTGCCTGCCGACATGATGGGCTAAGTTCACGCCGTCGCCTTGCCTCCGAGTCCATGTTGCTGCCACCCATCATCACCATCCTCGCCATGACCGTCACGTTCTCCAAGATGTACTTCACGTGTGGGCCTGCCATCTGTCCCCCACCTCCGCTACGCCACCCGGCTTGGCGTGACGTCACTCCCATCAGCTGTGAAGTGACATAGTGAAGTGATGCGGTTCGCCGCTTTGTGAAGTGAAATGTGATCATTTTTCCTTTGCCATGGACGTATTGACGCCATGTGTAGTGAAATTTTATTGTAAATAAGTGTGTGTGTGGTTTGAGGAGGCGCCCCTCAAGCCTATGTTACTACAGTATTGCTCAGTCGCTGTGTGAGTAATATTTATTTTGGTGAGTGCACTCCATTCTATTCTCTATCTTTCCTGGGCCCAGGTGGTGGTACACTGTCTCTTGTTTCTGTAGTATCTACTTGTTGTAGGACTTTGAAAGTGTTTGTCTGCGCTCAGTAAATTTGATAGTGTATCACATCTTTATTTCTAAATTTATTAGTACTCTGTAAAGGTGTTCCAGTCATTATCTATTTAATTATAGTGTTGTGTTATTGCAAGCCCTTGTTTATGGGTCACTAATTGCTGTTGGAGTCGATAAATTCCTCCTTGTTTATTTTGCATCGGTTTATGATGCTAGGGTTTTGTTTATCTAGTTGTGCGTTTGTCTGCTAACTTAAATTATTATTTCCTTGAACACTTGAGTACTTAAATCTTGTTGCATAGTTTCTTGCTGTATTCTGGGGGACGCCCCTTTATAAAGTAAATATTATCAAATCAATTCTTAGTGTTGGGTATTGTTTTCATTTAAATAGTCTAACTGGTTTTCATATTATGATTTTTGTTTGGTGCAGTTCTTGTGTTCTACTGTCAGTGTGCTTGTTGTTAATCTTTCTATAAAGTGTTTGATTTTTGCATGTAGTTCCTAGGAAAATGTGTTGACTTTATTTACTTGCTGATTTTCTCTGTTTCCGCTAATCTTGTTTACTCGAGTAAAGTTTTTGCTAGTGTACCGTTATTATTTGCTTGGTCTATTCTTGCAACTAAACCAAATAGTAGTATTAAATTAAATTCCTCGTGAATACTTAGTTTTTAAACTACTCTAGTCATTACTATATTTTGGTTTATAAAAATTCTTTGGTTTCATAAATAACACTATTGACCTTTTGTGATTCAAATCATTTTATTTCAAAATAGTTGTTTGGATTGTATGTTTGGTACAATGTTTCCTTGACACTTGCATAGTTCTAAACTATTTCTAAATAATCTCTGTAATTAATTTAATTGCAAAAGTTCTATAAAGTTTAACAATTCTGAGATTTATACTTAGTGTCTGTTTATCTTCAAAAATCCTATAAATAGTTTATTTACTGTTTGTCTTATATTGTTCAACGCACCAGTTCTGCACCTGTGTCTATAACAGTTTCTTTATTTGTGAATTATAACCCCATACTGCACATTTCTTTCTTTTTATTCCACTCACTGTACCCCTTTGTTTTTATTTTGTCAACCGGCTTCAAGAGGGGGAATCAACGCAGAAGAAGAACCCCGCCTTACTCCGCCCAAGATTTGTGAGAATCTGCTCCTCCTAGTATAGTCCGTGACAGGGCGGGTGACGGATTCACGGGGTGTGAAGTCGCAGACGTTGCCTACCGTTCAGGGGGGCGACGCAGGTCACCTCCCCCTGGATCCGCCCCTGGCGGGCCTGAGGCTTGGGGGTGCAGCCTGGCGCCCCCTCCCCCCTCCCCTTCCTTGCCGGCGCGGGGACGTGTGAAATGTGGCGGAAAAGGCGCCGCGAGCACATGCTGCGCGGCCGCCCGTGAACGGGGAGGGTGTTGGCTTACATGCAGACCGATTCCGAGAGCCGTCGCTCTGTCTCTCTCGCACTCATGGGGCGTGCCGCACAGGTGCGAGGGAGACAGAGCGACGAGAACCACTCCTCGAATCAGTCTGCAGCAGCGCGCGGCCCTAGGCCAGCCCCTTCTCTTACAGTGCTCACCCGAGGCCGACGCGGGCCTCGTTCCGGCGGGAAAAAAGCGGCCCGCCGCCGCGGGGATTCGAACCCGTCGCGTGTGATAACAGCCGGCGGCGTGTAAAGAGGCGTAAACGGAACAGCGCGCGCGCGACGAGCCGGACTACTTTTAAACCTGCCGCCCTTGTGGCCGCTGCCCCGTCGCTGCGGAATCCTTGGCAACTCTCGCTTAAGTCCTCGTTTAAGAGCGGCCCAGGCCGGGCCCAGGCCCAGATAAGCGGTGCCGTTCCCGCAAGCCAGTCGGAGCACAATGGCGGGGGTGGGGGTGGGGGTGGGGGCGGGGGTGGGGGCTGGGCCGGCGCGAAAGGTACAAATAGAGGGGGCGGGCGGCATTTGTCGCACACGCCGCGCGAGCAGCGCGACCAGCCCCGCAGGCCGGGCATCGCTGCAACAATGAAGCCCGCCTGCCACGGCCAAGCGAGCGCAGCAGCAGCGATGCGGCCGAACCGCGTCGCTCCCTCCGTCTCTCTCGCACCGCCAGCGCCAGGCCGGGGCGCCCCGCGAGTGCGAGAGAGACGGAGAGAGCCCGCCGCCGCGGAGCGCCGCGACCCGTAATTATTGCTGTAGCTGCATCCGCCATGCCAGGCATTACTCGGGCAAATGGCCCTCCACTGGTAGGGCCGGGCGGGGCCCTCGGCGGGGCCGCGTGCTGCGGACACAGCCAAGGCCATGCACGCCGTCCTGGTGGTCTGGCGGTCGTGGTGGCCCATGGTGGTCCTGGTGGTCGTCGTGGTGGTGTGGTCACAACCTTGACGGTCATCGCGGTGGTGTTGTTGGCGGGTGGTCGCCAGTGGAGATTTCTCACATCGAGTCGCGTTGATTGGTGGGCCTGCATCATCTGTTGTGGGTTCTTCTTCCGTTTACGACGAACTAACCAAGCGGCCGCGGTTGGCACGGTTACTGCCCGCCGCACCCTGGTTTATGCCCGCGGTTTTACAGCCTGCCTTCGCCCTCCGCCCGCTCCGCCCGCGTCGTGTAATCTTCGGGAAGCATGTTGTTTACTGGACAAACTTTGCCGGCCGCGACACCACCACTCTCGCGCGTGACTGTACTCGGATTCGCTTCGTGTCGCGCGTGACTGTACACTGACCGGACTGTGCACCTGATCAGGCCAGGTCGGCCGCACCGCTTTTGCGTGACTGTACGCCACTCTGTTTCGCGTTGTCGTGTCGCGCGTGACTGTACACTGACCGGACTGCACCTGATCAGGCCTCCGGCGGGCCTGTCACAACGACGGCCGGCTTATGGCCGCGCTGGACACGATGATGACGGTGATGATGACGGTGATGATGATGCCGCTGGAGCTTGGCCGGAGTGCCTCATTACGGCGGGGGCCAGCTGGAGCGCCCTGGAGCGCTGTCCGTCCACTGGACAGCCCCAGTGGTCCGAATCATTAACACGGACCCTAGAGCGCCACTCAGACGCCACTGTGCATCACGAGACGCAAAGCCAGCGAAGCCTGGGCGAAGCCTGGGCGAAGCCCGCCACCGAACCGCCTCTGGAAACAGAAACAAAATGAAAACAATTTTTTCGCATTCTTTAAACTCCGCGCCTCGTTCGCGCGAACCTTTCGGGGCGCCTTACGTGACCGAAATAAGCTGCTGAATTGAGGCACAATTGAGGAAAAGAGACGCACCGAGGGAGCGAGCGGGGCCTGGGCCTGGGCCTGGGCCTGGGCCTGGGCCTGGGCCTGGGCCTGGGCCTGGGCCTGGGCCTGGGCCTGGGCCTGGGCCTTGGCCAGACGACCGACTCCGGGCGGGGGCTTTCTCTCTCGCACTCCTAGCGCGTCTCACGTGGGTGCGAGAGAGACAGACCGACTGAATCCCCACTCGGAAGCAGCCTGCAGGGGCGGCGACGTGACGATGAGGACATCCAGGGCTGCAGACACGTCCCCCATCGGGTCCGTGAGTCCGTCCCGTCCCCAGTCCGGGCCACGACCATGCCCTCTCTCACTCCCTCACTCCGCTCCGCGCTCCGCCCGCGACCACCACCACTAGTTTCCATTCCCTAGTTTCACTTGACCCGGCACAGTTCACCTGGACTGGACACAATCACACGCACCGCATCTCGCTACATTTTCAGCCCGGCCCTGCAGCACGAGAGCGATTCCGAACGCGGCTTCGTCGCGCTGTCTCCCTCGCTCCACTAGGTGGCGTGACCGCGTGTTGAAAAGTGTCATCGTCACGGCTTCGGAGGCAGCCCTGCTGCCGAGTGGCCGAGTCAAGGGGATGGAGCGTCCGCACGTTTTGCTGCTGAGAGCGTCGCGGCGCCGTGGCAGTGCCGTGGCAGTGCCGTGGCGGCGCCCCGCCTGCCTGGGGCGTATCATGGCGTCATGGCGGGGCGCGGCAGCGAGCAGTGCGCAATGGGGCGGACGTCTCTCTCTCTCTCTCTCTCTCTCTCTCTCTCTCTCTCTCTCTCTCTCTCTCTCTCTCTCTCTCTCTCTCTCTCTCTCTCTCTCTCTCATTCTGGCACCCACTGCGTTACGTTATTTTATGGACGACTTCACTTATCTTGCGCCACCACACACGCGGGCCGCTCCGCCCAAGGGGGGCTGACTCTCCCGAACCGTGTACGAAGTATTATATATTATAGGTATTATAGAGTATTATAGGTATTATTCCGAACATTTTATTTAGATAATTGTGTCGTTTTAAGTGGTTTTCCGTGTACCAAAGGTTTCCGAAATACGCAAGTTAGTTGAAAACAAGGATTCCGGCTTGCGCTCCTGAGCCTCAAAATACTACCGCGCATCTTTAAGAGCCTCAGCACCTTGTCATCAGCCTTAGCGCCATTTCCTTACTCTAACGATCCGTCTAAAAATCGCTGAACGCCTGTTCACCACAATTTTACAAAACTTTCTCATTTTGAACCCGAAACTGCACTAAATGTGCGGCATTTTTTGGTATTATGGATTATAGTATTATAGGTATTATACAAGTATTATAGGTCTGTGTACGAAGTATTATAGGAGTCAGCCCCCCTTGGCTCCGCCGCGTCGCAGCGTGGACGCCGTGGACGCCGTGGACGCCGCAAGAGTGGCCCGGGCACTTTTCTAAGGGATTTTGTTTCGGCCAAGGGTGCGCCAACCCGCCAACCCGATCTCGGTGTGTGTGTGTGTGTGTGAGAGAGAGAGAGGGGGGGGGGTTCGTGTGTGTGTGTGGCCGAAGAGATTGCACGAGAGTGCAACTTTTGAGTCCTGTTCGACCGTAAAACTATGTTAGTGGGTCGGGTCAGGGCGGGCGGCTGCGTTGGCGGTGATGCTCCAGTGTCCGCGGAGAAGGGCGCGCTGGCGGCAGGCCGACGGGGGCTGGGGATCGAACCCGGGGCTCCTCTTTTACAGGCCGAGGAAGTTTTCCAATTGACTTGCACCGCGGCGGGCCGAGTGGCCGAGTGGCTCTGTTCTGGAGTGCCACGCCCTCGGGCCCCGGCCCGGCCCGGCCGTCTTTGGAACAACGCGAACCTGTAGCAGTCAAAGAAGGGCGGGGAGGGGGAGGGGAAGGGCCATGGGCGGCGACGGGGCTTACTTAGAGGACACTGGCGCTGCACAGTGGGCCAGAAGACCGGTGGAGGCGGCCAAAACCCTAGATGCGTTTTGAGCTCCAGAGTCGCTAAATGGGCCTCGAACCGAACGTGTGGGTCACACCTATGGATTGCTCTCCGAACGAGGAGTCCATTGGTGGGGTCACACGCTCGGTTCGAGGCCTGTTTAGCGACTCTGGAGATCAAAACGCGTCTAGAGTTTTGGCCGCCTCCACCGGTCGTCTGGCCCACTGTACGCTGCAAGGGCCGGGCCGGCTGGCTGCGCTGCGAAGGCAGCAGCAGGCTCATTCCGAACAGCGCTTTCCTCGCTCTGCCTCTCTCTCTCTCTCGCACACCCGCGGGGCGCCCCTCGGGTGCGAGAGAGACAGATAGAGACAGAGAAGGGGCGCAGGGTGGCCGCTACTTGGCCGGATACATTATTCAATTGGCCGTTTTGAATAATGCAGGCCGTAAGCGCCGGACCGCGTCCGAGGCTCCGAGGACGGCGAGGACCCCGTCGACCACGTCCGCGCCGCCCCGCCCAAGGCCCCGGCGCCCGAATCGCACCGCCTCGGCACCGCCATGCTCCGTCTCCGTCGCCCCCGCGCCCCCGCGGCCCTCACGCGCCGCGGCCCGGGGGAGCGACGAGGACGACGCCGAGGACGCCGAGGACGCCGTCGTGCTCGGGCCGGCGGGGCGCTGGGGGCAAGTGGGGCAGGGATGGGATGGGCTGGCGGCGCGGAGGAGTAGCTACCCGGGGTACTTCCTGTCCTCGTCCGCCCCCGCGCGCCCCGCGTCAACGTCTGCTGCCACAAGGCCGACGACGGCGCCGGCCGGGGGGAGGGAGGGTCACGCGGAAGGCAATCGGGAGCCTTCTCCCCCTTGACCAGTGTCAGTGTGTTGGTGTG